ACTATCATTGATCTATAAAAATATCCTGTTGTAGGTTCCCGTATACCTCGTCTTGGATCTAAAATCTTGATACTGATTACAGCACGGACGTATTGTTCTTGCATCCAGGTAAAACACTTTTGTTTCAAACGACCAATACTTTGGCCTATGGCTACTTCACAAATTACTCGTGCATGAGAATTTCCCTATATAAATCATGTTAAAGCAAAATCATATATTAAACGAATGTAATAATGCACATCAAAATCCACATACATCTACATCGCTAGGAGGTATAAAGACATACGGAGGTCTTAAGTCAGTAGGTGGTCTTGAGACAAATGCATTACTTGGGTATACAGCAACATCAGGAGCTATCATAACGCCCAAACCACGAGGATCAGGATGAACTATGTGAAAAGATTGAGAATATAAAAATGGAATAGTAAGAAAAAAACAAAAAAACAACAGGTTCTCTTACAAGGTTGTCCGCAAACTATTACAGGTGGATGACGAAAAAAATCCATTGATTGGTTGATTAAATTGTGATGTGCATGTAATATTTGCATGATATGAGTTAATATTTTATTGCAAATATGTACAAAATTTATTATTTTTTTTATATGTATATTTAAATTTGTTAAAAAATTTATATAAGTATTTAGGTTTTAAATCAAATTCAGAAAACAATCCTTAATAAATTTTATTAAAAATTATAATAATTAATAAAATAATAGTGATAATGTAATTAAATATAAATAATATATACCTGTAATCCTCTTTTTTTAACCTTTCATCAATCTTAATACATTCTTTTATAGGTTTAACATCTTCTGATACATCAGATTTAGTTTGAGTTTCTGAACTTATCCAAGTATCAATATCCTTATTTATTCATAATATTTTATTATATGAATATAACAACTCTTTTAATTGAAATATTAAAAAATTTAAAATAATAAAGACAATAAGATCCTAAAATTTAAAAGTAAAATTTGTGATAGTTATGCTTACAAATTAGTATTCAAATTTTATTACTTAATGAATTAGTACAATTTATATAATTGTATAATTTATTAGTTATAGAATGATTATTTGAATATTTAAATAATAAAACTTTAAAAGAATATCAGAATTAAATACTCAAAAAATAATAAAAATCTTTTTTAGTTTTTATTTCTTCTTTTTTTATTTTAGTTTTATTAGAATTTTTTTATAAATTATTAAAAAAAATAAAAAAAATAACAAATAATTTTATTATAATTTTTTAATAAATTATTAAAAAAAATAAAAAAAAATAACAGATAATTTTATCAAATTATTTAAGTCTTTTCTATATAAGAATAATTATATTTTAATTCAAAATAATGAACCAATTTCATTTTTATGCCAACAATGATCAAGAAATATTGCATCTTTTCTTAATAATTTTCTAACAATTATTTTTGTATTGATATAACATTGCAATAAATTGTAAAAATTTTTAACTAAATATTTATCAAAAATATTTAAATGTGTTTTTAAAACATTAATTATTAAATATTAATTGTTTTCTAATATTGAATATCAGACAAAAAAACCAATATAATTTTATCATAATTATATCTTTAGAATCTTTGCATTATAGTTTATAACTAGAATATCATATTAATATACTCTTCAAAATAATTTTCTTTAAATAGACATATATATATATTTAAAGAAATAAAAATTAAATTGTCTAATCAAAAAAGGTAATATATAATATCTTTAGATTCTTCAAACAATTTAACAATATACCTTTTAATTAAAAGCCAACATTCATATACTAAATACAGTAACACATTAATATGTTATAGTCTAAGTTTAGCACAAGCTTTTGTTTTTTTTAAAATACAATCTTATATAATTAATTAAAAAAAGAATAAAATACAATTATAATTGACTATCATGTATTGACAAATTTATGTAATGAGTCTAAAAAAAATATTAGATAGATAAATTCTTTCAGAATTAGTAATTTTTCATATTCTAATTTTTTTACAATAGCTCTTCATATGAATAATTATTCAAAAAAATCTGTCCAAAAATAGAATAATATTATTTCTTAGATATTCGATTACTTCTGATAAGCTTTTAATTAAATAAATTAGCATATAGCTTTAATTAAAAAATTATTATATATATATTCAATTTAAAAATATTTTAATAGCTTCAATATAATCTTTAGTATTTTTTAAATCCAATTCAATATAGTCTATTAATTTGGTTTAATTAAATTTTTTATAATATTTTTGTATAATATTTGCATTATAAGAATGAATTGTTAAATTGTTAATTAAGTTTGTTTTATTTGATATTCAACTCAATTTGATTTTTTTAAATTGTAACTATTTACTAAAATAAATATATATTTATTACAAATTATTTTTAAGAAAAATGTATCACCACCTTGTGAATTATGAACAAATAAACCAATATATAGAATTATAAGAAATAGGTAGATATTTAATAGTATTAAATAATATAATGATCATGTGAATAATTTGTTTAGCTAAATTTGTTAATAAAATACAAGTACCATAAAGATTATAATAATTATCTATATATATAATAAAAAAACTATTATATTTAAAAATTATAATAAAATTAGTATATATATTTAATAAGTCAATTATTTAAAAAAAATATTAATCTATATAATCTTGAATATGTTTTTTCACACTATCATAATGCTTATCACTTATTTCATTAATTTTATTAAAAGTTATTTGGTATATAGTACATAATCCCATATTAGTCATTGCATTAATACAATAAATCAAGACTCTAAATTTTATAAAAAATAATTTTAATACAGCTTTGACATCACTTATTTGCTTGTTTTACAATTTGACTATTTTATAGTACAATATTCTAATTTCTTATTTTAAATATTTTCATGTTTTCAAAATTTTGTCTTTAGAATTTATTGTATTATATAAAATATTAAAAAATTCTTGGATTTTCAAATCTTTATATTTAATTAAATTGATAAAATTATTGGTATTTAATTTTGGTGATTTTCTCTCTCTTTGATTTTAATAAAGAACTTTTATCATTCATATTACCTAATTATTAAAATATAAAAATTGTTCTATAATAATTAATATTAAATATTAAAAAAAAAAATTACACAAACCTATATTAAGCTATACCTTATACTTAAACCCCTGTACTTGTTTACTACCCTGCAAAATCATATACTTATAACTTTTATCTAATAAATTATCTTAAAAATGCCTACTCTTACAACAACTGAATCAGACTCCTATGATATAGATTATTATTACTCTAAATACAGAACCTGTCATGAACTTGGTATGAATAAGGAAACTTTCAAATTACTTCATGTTCTTTCACTATATGTTAATCTTAATCAATATGAAAGTCTTAAGAAAAAATAACATTACTTCAAAGTTTCTATTCAACTGACTATTGGCACATATTTATATAATTAATTTCATATAAATTTTACCTCTCATTTCTATAAAATTACTCAATCTACTACTCTTAGTCTCTCTAATATGCAAACCTCTCCAATTATCTCTATTAAATGCTTTGAAAAAATCAATGATACTCTATCTCATCTCTTATTGTTAAACAACTTTCAACTTAATTTTTTAATTTTAATATTCTTTTTCCTTCATTCAATATCAATCCTACACCAACTGCTATTATTCTTTACTCTCAATATGTTCATACATATGTTTTATGTAATATCAAAAATCTTTCTTGTATTCCTTCTCAAGAAAATAAATATTTATCAGATTACATCACAGCAATTCTTTTTAGGCCTTGACTTATTCATTGTATTTGTATTCATAGAATTATTGATATCAAATAACATCATCTTCCTCAAACTAAAGCTTTAATTCAAGAACAAAAGAAAATGACTCATATATACAAATTTATTTTACTTAACAAAACCAAAAAATTAGAACTTTTAAAAGAAATTTTATCTAAATTTCCTAAAAAGAATACCAAATCTTAATAACAAAAACATGATATCTCTCAAGATCTTGACTGGTTTAAATTATTTCCAGTTACAAAAGAAATGGAATCTAATTCAAAACTAAATACTTCATTTTCTCAACAATTATTTGAGTTTCTTAAACCCAACTTAATTCAATTTGCACTTGAAAAAACTATTCTTTCTGAAAACCCAAATATTAAAACTACTTTTAAATACTTTTTTGATTACTTATTAAAAAATATGACAGAGCGAAAACCCAAATTCTTGGTGAACTTAGTTCATAAAACTAATCTATCAATTGATACTCATATTCTGATTCTTATAAGAATTTTAATTAATATCTTAAAACTTATTCTCTCTAAATTTCTTACTATATTCATCACAAAACTCAATTATAAAAAAATTCTTTAATTTCATTACACTATTTCATCATATACATTTCAAAATTGACTTCAAGTTGTCATCAATCTTGCTCATTTACATCTTTTTCTTAACTCTAGTTACAAAACTATTTATGCAAAAAAATTTTCAGAAGATCTAAATCTTCAACTACTTCACCTTACCTTATATTATAACATTAGTTATAATTTAATCAACAAAACACCTTTTCAAATACAAAATGATGAAAAGTTAAATATTAATATTTCTTTTAACATTAATACTGAAAAATTTAAAAGTTCTTTTCAAATACCTTCTCTTAAACTATATAGAGCAATTCTTGAAAATTGGTTAGATAAATTCTTTGAAATTTATAAACATTATTCTCCAAACATTATCAAAATCAAAGTTCATAACTTTCTTAAATATCAAATTGCAACTAAATATGCTGAAGAGCATAAAAAGCTACTACCTCAATTCTTTATTATTGAATCTATTATATCTCTTCAAGAGTGCACTCTATTAGTTAGAAAATTTGCTCTTTTTCATGTTTATATTTGCAAAAACTCTGATAAACACAAATGCACAGTTCTCTTATCTGATACTGAACATAATTTCCAAAATCTTTCTACATATTACTTTGATTAATTCTTTAAAAAATTTTCTGTTTCTGTATCTGACAAATCAAGTCCATCTATCAGGTCTAATCAACCAGCATGGACTCATCTTACCTTAGCCTTCTTAATCTTTTACAAAAATAATGAACATTCAGCCTCATTCAAAATTCCAACTCCAATTAAATTTCTTTATAAACTTGCTGATTCTGCTGAAAAACAATTCATAGAAATCAAGCTTTTCTTCAAGCAGCAACTCAAAATGATAAATCTTCAACTTAAGCTATGATCAAACTATTAAAAAAGCTACATCTCAAATTACAGATATTCATTTTCTAGCCAGAATTATTATCTACTTTGAAATACTTAAACAAAGTAGTACAAATCTTTTTATTTCTTTTATCTAAAAAAATACAATGAAGACTATTACTCACAAGCTGAATCTCTTATTATTAAGAAATTCAAATATATTACTCTTAAAAAAATTAATAACTTTAACCTTTTTAAACCTATTAACTTTTAACCTCCTTTTTAATAAACT